GTGTAGAGCGAGGTCATCCAAATTGGCCGGGTTGATCTGCAGACGCTTTAGGGGATCTTCAGAATGTTCTTGTGTCGGCGGATTTGGCTTCCTTGGCGGTGGGAACCCATGGCGACATCTCTATGGAAGAGTCGTTTGGGTAGCTGCTCGCTGTCCATCCGCACGAGGTGGCCGCTTCACCGCAGTCGCCATTGCATCAGCATAGTGTAGAGTCTGAGAATTCCCGTCCGCTGCAGTACGTTAGTGTGGGGATCCGGCCCTGTCACCTCAGCTTCAGTATCCGTCGTAGACAGCTGAAATGGAAAACGCACACATACCAAGTATCACTTATACAGAGATGGGTTATTGCGCCTGCTTTCAGTCGCATCCAGCACTAAAATCGGGTCTTCTAAAATCTGTGAAAACATCAAGCCCGCCTTGGTGAGTAAAGAGCGAGCGAGTGCGTTATATGCGGTAAAAGTCAACTGTCACCATAATCTAGTTCACACACAAGTCATCGTCCCTGCAAACACTTCGGTGTGGAAACACGGTGGAAATCGTCGAGATGGACTCCCGGTCCATCGTATTTTACAGAACTATACGCAACCTCGGAAAATTTGCCATTAAAACATTATTCACATACATTACGTGGTCTGGTTTTTAAACATATTTTGTCGTGAGCTGACGTGGTATCTAGCTGTGGTTCAAATATTCAGTAGAACGCAGTGAACGCATACAATTATCCAAACATTTCTTGAAGAACTGCAGAGTGCCTGCGCCCAAAAACGGTGGTGGGAGGTTGTTCACCGTTCTTTTACCCGTTGCATAAAGAATTCAGAACGATGATTTTGACTGGGCATTTTCCGTGCATGTCCACGGAGATAGGGCCAATGGATCCATCCAAATATGTCGTAAAATCACACCCCGTCTTCAAGACCATATATTCCGCCGGAAACCTCGAAGAATTCATCCTTTGTAACCTGTTAAGCAGAGGGAATAGATTTAAGTTCTCCATTCTCCCAAGATAAAAACGGAAATTTAGATATTTTTCTAGCTTTTTAGTGCGACTTCGCACTTTCTCGAAACCTTTTGTTCTTTGCAAGTCACGGCCGCCATGAAAGCACACCGTAGTCTGGGTTAGATTGAACAAATTGAGTGAAGACATTCGCGAAAGTGTCTTTGCTGTAGGTAACACACGCCCATGTGTCTGTGTGCAGCACTCCAGCAACATTTCTGAGGCCCTAATGCATCGCAGTTAAAACTTGACATTGTTCTCTATCCAGGAATCGAAGTCCTCGCACAAAAATTCTGGAGAAATTTGAATATATTTCAGGTGATATATCTTCATCCCGTCACTCTGCTGCAGTTGCTTGGGCGGAGATGGAGGACGACACACTTTTCTCATTAAAGTTCGGGAGCCATCTCTCAGCTGGCGTTTGAATTCCGTCAAGATTATTTCAGAGGGATTTCCGATCATTCGGCCCCTTATTGACTTGGTAACATTTAACTTTGTTTGCAAATATAAGCTCACCGCTGTTAAATTACTCGTATTTTTTTATTCCTTTTGGATGTAGAGCAATGAGCTAAATAAGGACTTTCTATCAAGGTTGACAGAGTCAAGAGTTCCAACGTATGTATGTTTTATTCAGTAATTAAACTTCCCGATTGAGTACAAGTGTTTTCCTAGAACTCAGGTGCTACTCACTTAAGTCATCAGTGCGGTAAGTTTGTGGATGACCTCTCTCGAATCTGAATCTCCTGGCTTGCCAATGCGAAGTTGCATTCTTGTAAAGATCAGCGACGGTATTTTACCCTGGACTTTCCTATATTAGTTACGCGGCAAGCCCTTTGATGCAACGCGGAACTGTAATACTTGTTGAACTTTATGCTTTCTGGACTTCTCTTTAATTCATAGTAGCTGTGCCTTGTGTTTGAATCAACGGGGTGTTTCGCGCCCACCACATTGGTTTCAATTTTAGAGATGAACTCGCTCTCTGTGCTTTCGCCTCGGTTGGGATGTTTCCTTTTCCAGAGTGCTCGCTATGCAAGCACGGCGCCACGCATGAAGAAGTTTGCCATCTATCGCTACGTGAGTAGCTCATAAAATTCTTTTTTTTCGGAGTTTTGGAGGGGTCTGGCATGCTGAGTCTCATCACTGCATACTAGGATAACAGTTCATATAAGGTCTTGAGAAGGGTGTCATCCTTACCAGGCACGTATTAGGTAAGCGGTAAGTTTTAGACATCTGCGCCGTGTGCTTGTCTGACTAGTGGAACCGGGGCCGCCCGCATGCGGCATATTTAATGAAGTCACCCAGGTATCTCCACAGCTATCCGTACTCTTTTGTTCTGTCACCATCCTTGCTTCCCGTAAATTACTCTGTTGCGTATTGCTCTTACTATCTTTGACAAGTGCAATACACTTCTTATAGAATCCTGACAAACCCAGTCAGAAGCCCTACATGCAAACTTATGAAATTGATCTGAATGAATGTGGCCCGATGGTCTTGGACGCTCTTATCAAGATCAAGAACGAGATTGATCCCACGCTTACCTTTCGCCGATCCTGCCGCGAGGGTATTTGCGGCTCCTGCGCTATGAACGTCGACGGTGGAAATAGGCTTGCCTGCATTTGGTAAGCGTGCTTCTTGCTTTTGTAAACCTTGCAAGTGTTCTCGATTGCTTACAAATGTTCATCATACCCATTAGCGTCTAGGGCTTAATTACTCCAGGGTTGTCTCAGTACGCTGCGTCCGTCTTTTCAAAACGGCATAGGCCGCATCTGTTCACTAAAATTTTGCTACGGTTTTTTTTCCCACCAGCGCCATCGACAAGAACACTTCAAAAACGTCTAAAATATATCCATTGCCTCATATGTATGTGGTGAAGGATCTCGTCCCCGATATGTCAAATTTCTACGCCCAGTATCGGTGGATTGAGCCCTATCTTAAGAAGAAGGAATTCAAGGAGGAAAATGTCGGCGACAAAGCGTTTATGCAATCCGTCAAGGATCGTGATAAGATCGATGGTCTGTACGAGTGCATTCTGTGTGCGTGCTGTTCGACGTCATGCCCGTCTTACTGGTGGAACTCGGACAAATACCTTGGCCCTGCTGTCCTCATGCAGGCATACCGGTCAGTTTCCCCACCCAGTGTATTTTACACTATGCTTGCCTTCTGAATGTCCAAAATAATAATTTGGCCTTCTCCTGTATGGAGTCCAGTGCCTCTAAAACTTGCTTCGGTTTCAGGTGGATGATTGACTCTCGCGACGACTACACTTTCGAACGTCTTACCCAGTTGCAAAACAAGTGGTCTGTTTATCGATGCCACACGATCATGAACTGCACAGAGACGTGTCCTAAGGTAAGTCCCTGGACTGTCAAGCTATAATTGCTCTTGGAATTGTCACGCTTGTCTTGTTTCTAGCTAATATTCTCTTGCTCATTTTCCGTTTTAAATTTCAAGGGTCTGAATCCCGGGAAAGCAATTGGCGAAATCAAGAAGATGCTTATTCATTACAACAGTTACAAGAACAAGAAGCCAATGAATCAGATGGTCGCATAAGTCGATGCTGTTTATGAACGTACAGTCATAGCATCCGCGCCTCCGTTGTACACTACTTTGTTTATTTGCATGGGTCACGTTCTAATCCAAAGTTCTGTTCTCAACATAGTTTTGTGGCCGAATGTAGTTTTCGTTTCTTAACCTTTATCCTTAATATAATTACTACATCCTTTGACTTTTGTATTTGAATCTCCGGCTTTGTTAAAAAGTACAGCTCTGGCGTTCTCTAGCACGTCAGAAGAAGTAATTCTTGTCTAGAGCGCCGGCGCAAACCCGCCTTTGAGTAGTTAGCCGGCGAACTTCGAGTTAGGTAAAAAGACTGATTATAGAAGGCGACACGAATAAGAAGGCGTTCGCGCATCCGCATGCCACAGGGTTATTTCACGAACACCATTTTTGGGTTTCGGGCGGGGTCGCGTCCATCTGGTTTTGTGCTTGGATGAGAAGAGCATGTGGTCAGATCTCGCACGGCGAGTGGTGGTAGGGCAAACGATTAGGCTGTTTACGACTAAGGAAGGTCCGCCCACCCGAGGGACCTAATGGGCAGTGGGGTGGCAGCTCGGCCGTAGCCTCGAACGATGTCCGCCGCGTGCGCCATGACAGGCTGGCGACATGTGCGTGGAGTGGTATCAGACTTTCACTGCACCCACCACACCCCTTCCACCTTGGCCCGTCGTCATGACAATCATGAAGACCGGTGGCTGGTTGGAGGGTAGATTGCCTGCTAGCTCGGCTGCTGGCTACTCGGCGCGTCCAGAGGTGGCTGATAGGGGGACGGCGTTCGGTGAAATAATCAGGCCCAGGTCTGACGAACGAGCAGTCGCGGACCAGCAGCGACAGTGCTACCAGGGTGCGGAGGGCTGAGGTCTGGCACACTAAAAATCTTATAGAAAGCCGGAAAGCCCGATGACGGCATTGCGACATGGCGACCGTAAGCCGCCACGAAATAAGTTTGCTTGTCACAGCTGCCTTGTAGTTAGACTTAAGCGAGAGCTTTAGAGAAGACAAACCGAGCGGCTGTTGGGGGCTCGCCTGTATCCGAAATTCCCATGAGACCGCATGATATCCGACTACAGTATTACGACCCATGCTACAGCGTCCGCGGGAATCGACGCACTGCGCAACCCCCGTTCCAGTGGTGCGGAAACAACATGCGAGCTAGATTACTCAATCAGTGACGCACTCTTGATAGTGGATGCTGGAATGTGCGAGCGTATCCGAACCCGGGGTATCCAAAGTCTTACCGCGCGCAGCCTTAATACAACGTGGATGTCTGCTGTCTGTCTGAAGTTTGAATTCCTGACTGAAAACTTCAGTCTATGGGGCAGCTAATAAAATACTTGGATATGCCCAGCGACGCCGCACTGACTGGATCAGCGGAAGAGCCCTGCAGTTGTCTGCTCAGACGGCTCGAGCCAGATCCCGTTAAGATGATTCCTTCCACCAACTTTGGAAGATGACGGCGAAGTCGGCCGGAGATGACCGGAAGCAATATTCGGCTGAAATAGCGACCTCCATGAAACAGGCTTCAAACGTTGGTGACACTCGAGAACTCTACCAACCTATCTGCCAAGTTAGCGGCAAGCCCTCTACACTGAGTGACTCTGTTAAAGACGTGAGTGGCGTCTCTATTGCTGATAACTCAGCCAAAGTCTAGAGCTGGCGTGAGCACTTCGAGCACCATCTCGACTTCGATACCCAACCAAACTCGTCCTTGTTATCCTCTGCAGCGGAGTTTCTTCGCTCCAATCTATGCAGTGCCATGCAACTCCCCTTCTGAAGGAGAGGTCGACGATGCCAAACGAAAGCTACACCACAACGAGGCACCCGGAGAGGACGGTATACCCGCTGAAATTTACAAGTCTTCTGTCGACACCCTGGTGCCCTGACTCCATGAGGTGATTGAAGAAGCGTTCAGGAACGAGGTTACTCCTGATGACTGGGGTTTAGGCATCCTTGTACCTATCCTCAAGAAGGGAGATAATAACACAAGGTGCGAGAATTACCGCGGTATAGGCCTCGTCGACGTTACTACGAAGATCTTTGCTTTTGTCCTACTCAGGCGATTCCGGGTTGTGCGCGACTTTAGAACGAGGCCTAACCAAGCCGGATTTCGTGCTGGACGTATATGCACAGACCAGGTATTCACTCTGAGACGCATTCTCGAACTTAGCTACCAGCAACCGATGACCGTCTGCTTCGTTGACCTTGCCGCCGCATTCGATTCCGTTCATCGTGAGTCCCTATGGCGGATAATGGCGCTAAATGGTGTACCGGCAAAAATCATGGCAAAAATCAAGGCCTATTATCGCTCCACTACTGCGAGAGTCCTGGTCTGCAACAATCTTCCCCAACCGTTCGGTATTTAGTATGGCGTCCGACAGGGTTGTATCCTGTCACCCATACTGTTTGACTATGCTATTGACTGGATCCTCGGGAGGGCCCTACGCGAGAGTGACTGTGTTACATTTGCACCCGGACACCGACTGACTGATCTCGACTATGCTGATGATGCTGCCTTACTTGCTTCAAGTTTTGGTGATCTGCAGTCTATGGTGTCAGGGGTGAACGAAGTCGCTAGATCGGTCGGTTTATCCATAAACGCTGGGAGGGCTAAAGTGTTTTCAAGCTGCATCCCTAATCAAGGCAAGGCACCTCTCGGGCTTTATGCTTTTCAAATTGAAGAATTAGGCAGTTTTAAATACCTTGGGTCGATACTGCTGCCAAATGGGCAGAGTAAGGATTATAGTGTCTCCTGACTCGATGCTACCGGACGGGTTTCCTCAAGCTTTAGAAAGTGCTTATAGATCCACCGCGAACTCTGCATCGCCACTAAGATTCGCGTGTACCGTATGTCTGTCCGGCCTGTCGTTTTTTTATGGTTGTGAATGCTGGGTTGTGCGTGTGGAGGACGGGTGAAAACTGGAGGTAGTTGACCACCACTGCTTGAGGACCATCCTTCGAGTGAAGTACACCGACTTCTCAAATGAGACAGTCCGCGCTAACTGTGACAACATCGCAAGGATAACCCAGGCCATCCAAGAAAGGCGATTGAAGTGGTCCGGGCATGTCCTTTGTCGTCCACCTCCAGAGCTCAGTGTTACTGCCCTTGATCCGACACCGTTACCCCGTTGGAGGCGTCGAAGAGGGAGTCAGCCCAAAACCTGGCTCGACACAGTTCGTCAAGACATGGGGGTGGTTTTTGGACCTTCGGTATTCGGTCTACGTCGTTGGCGAAGGGAATGGGTTGAACCGTCCAGATCTGCTGCCGCAGATCGTCACGCATTGGGAGGTACAGTTGGGGACATCACCGAAGACGGCTATATCAGTCATGATTACAGTCTTATCAAGTAAAAGTAAGTACCGGCGCGTGCAGCCAGCTCCTGGTTTTCTCGACCAGAATTTTACCAATACAAGTAAAGGGGAACGCCTCGGATCCCAATTTAATGCAGTTGTCATAGAGACCACGTCAAGGAGGAGCCTTTGCGGTCTGGTTCAGTCAAATCGGCCACTCCACACAAACACACATTGGGCTGAGCGCAAGGTCCGAGTTATCCCGTTCGTTGGCAGCCTCCCGAACCAAGACTTTTAGCGCAACGCGGTGGCTTCAAGTGGCTCGAATTATTTGTAGTAAAGAGTATGCTCTGAGACCACCGATTGCACCCTCGTCCCACTCCAAGGCACGCATCGGAGCCGATCGGTTGTCTGATGTGGGGAGTGGACGCAGTGGCTTGGCGACCAGGCTATGCGTGCCACATGCACGATCGCCAGTTGGCAACCTTCCAGGTCATGAATTTCAGCACACCGTGATATTCTAAAGGTCGACCTTACTCACTCTAACCCATCCCATGCGCCATTTGCTTCTTCGAGCCAGTCAACCAACTGAAGCTGAGATTGGGGGAGGGTGGCCTACGGACTCACGTCCCACACACCACCTAGACCTTCAAAGACACGCACCAGGATTGGACACACAAGAGGCTCCAGACACTGGTTCGACAGTCTCTGTGCGGTGGATTCGCAGGTGGCCGGCCGGACTGTGGCGTAAGATGAATGTTCTGTAAATGTCGACGGAATAGGTCGGGGAACGCTTACTCGGTCACGACCGTGACATTATCACTGGTGATTGCGCTTGAGGATGGGTGGTCGGAAGGCCTGGGAATTGAAGAAGTGGAGGGCGTGCGAGGTGTGACGATAATGTGTTGAGTTCCGCCGTTGTAGATGCGCATGTGATCGAGTAGATTCACTGGTTGAGTGAATTTGCTGGGACAGTGCGTGAAATGGAGGCGGATGCGACGGGTGTAGGTGGGAGGTACCCTAGCCGCAGTGTGGAGGATTCGCTAGCTGTCGCAATGAGGACAGGTTGCGACCGAGACCACATCGCTGATGGTGAAGTTGTTAATGGGGGGGGGATTGACTCGGCGCTGATATAGTTCTCACCAATGATGGGAGTTGGAGAGGAGTTAGTTACTGTAACCGCGGAGGTTTTGGCTGGAATGATGATGATGATGATGATGATGATGATGATGATGATGATGATGATGATGATGATGATGATGATGATGATGATGATGATGATGATGATGATGATGATGATGATGATGATGATGATGATGATGATGATGATGATGATGATGATGATGATGATGATGATTACAATGGTTGACGGCAGTGGCGGGAAATCTGGATTTTGGTCATCATCAATGGGATGGGGGGAGTGGTCGTCATCATCAAAGCCATAGTCGCCCCCTCGATGGGTGGTCTCGGACTGTGGTTGCTATGCTGACCGCCCCCTCCCCCTCGAAGAAGGGGATATGACTCAACACCTGCCCGGTACTCTCTTCTCTGCCCCCAAAGACGATAAAGCTGTGGGGTGCAAAGTTGTACGGAGAGGGGGGGAGCTTAGGAGAGTATCGGCTGGCGGAGCTGGAAGAACTGTTTGCCCCTCTTGTCTGCCTCCTCTGTCGAGCAGAAGGAAACCGATTTTGATCATGGTCGAGGGGTGCTCACCGATCGTCCTTACTGAACTCAATCGTTCCGTTGTACCTTACGGGCTCTCTCCCGAGCCCAACCAGCAGCCGCACAACGGCACAAGGTACAGGCAGAATGTTATTACCTACAAAGACGAGGGAGACTGGAATGGCCATTTCTGGCCTATTAGTCGTCGTCAGCCAGCCATACCCGATCCCGAAGTGTGGTGGCGACGGCGGCGGCGATGATAACAATGATGATGATGGTGACAGTGGTTGACGGCGGTGGCGGGAAATCTGGATTTTGGTCATCATTGAAGGGGGGGGGTAGTCGTCATGGTCGACTCCTTAGGGGTTCGTGCAGGGGTAATGGTGGGGATGGTCGGAGGAGGTACCAGTTGAGGTTGAGGGATGGTTGTTGCATTAAATCCGGAGATATTTTACGAGGCCGAATCGTGTCCGGAATGTTCACTTTCAGCGCGGGCATGTTGGGATTGGTTAGATGGTTGCTGTGCGGGCTGGGGCCACTTGAGCTTTGGAAGCTTATATTTTGGCTTTAGCATCGGCGGCCTGGTTGGCCTCGTAGATTTGTGCTCCAGTCTGCACTGCCCATATCCAGACCAGTCGGTCCCCCGGGAGATCATCTCGGGTCTTCGGATTGATTTGCAAAGGCTTCAAGGAAATATCCAGGTTTCCCTTGAAGTAGTGAATTTGACGTACTTGTCGGCGAGCATCTGCAGTAACATCTCCGTAGAAGAGGCGTTTGGGTAGTCGCTCGTCGTTTAGCCGCATGAGGTTACCGCTCCATCGCAGTCGTAATTATCTCCTCGTGGCACGGATGCTGTGCATTCTGGTTCGGTCTCAAGTTTTCGTGCTCATGATCCTGTCTTGCTACCTTAGCTTTTGAATTCTTCGAAAGAAAACTGAGGCAGAAACGACTGGGTCGCCGCACTGGTTTCATGTAGTCTGTCCAGTTCTCCGCTCCATATAATAGCATCGTCAAGGTAACAGCTTAATTCATCCCGGATTTGGTGTTTCAGTGGAGACCGTGGCGATTCCACACGATGTTCTGCAGCCAGCCAAAGACCTCTTTGTTGTAAGAATTGATGCTGCGAGAGAGTGTGTTGTCTAAGTTAGCCGATTTTTAGTCGTTGGCCTCGATATGGGAACGTCGTATGAAATGTCGGACGGTGGTTTGGTACATGACCACCGTTTTGACCGTGTTGGTTGCCGGCCCGAAGTTGGCGCATCCGGAGGCAAAAAGTTCACTTCTCCGTTGCATGTCCGCTACTGTTGCAGCGTTGAGAGCGAAGTGGCCTGCGATGAGCAGATTGTGAACAGTAGTCTTGGATAGACGCATCGTGGCGTGTATTCGCTGGCTATCGAGAGGTCGGCCATGAATCCAGTAGGCGATGCAGACCCCAGAGTGTTCATCACGGTAGGCTCCCATTAGCATGAATGAGAACATGAAAGTGAAGAGGGTGGGAGCGCGTACACAGCCTTGCTCCACCGCACTAGTCCCCCTGAGTCTTCTTGGATGGTCCCGTTGTCCGTGAAGCGCACCATCATGCCATCGTGGAGCTGCTGCACCATGTGCGTGAATTGCCCTGGACAACTGAATTTCTGGGTGATTTTCCACAGTTCATCGTCATTCACCGTGTTGAAGACCTTCGTCGGGTCAGGATCTCCTGACACCTCTATTGTGGATGGCGGGCTGTGAAGATCATGCCCGTGGTCAAGCGGTTTCGTTGGAAGCCACAATGGCCTTTCAGCAAATGTCTCTGTTTTAGATGGCCGTTACAACGGTCAAGGAGGATTCAAGCGAAGATCGTCCCCGTGATGTTGAGCAGCTAGATATCTCTGTGATTATCGCAGAGTTGTCGGCGCCCTTTTTGTTTGTAGTGAAATATGATGGCCGCATCCCTGAAATCCTGTGGGACCTGTCCTTGATGCCACATGTTCTGGAAGAGCGTTTACGTCTGTCTATCAGTCCAAGGCCGCCGTGCTTGTAAGCTTCATTCTGGATCGCCTGGGAACCCAGTGCTTCCTTAATGTACATTTTTTACACAGCTCAGGCCTAGGTTGGCTTTCGTTTGCACTTGTAGGACACGGTGATTACAACATCAGAGATCATGAATGGACCATTGAGAACAGTTTTGAGGCGCTTGGCCCACCGCTTCAGAATTTGCGGTTTGCCGTCAAGAGTATTTTCCATCGGAGCTGGGAATCAGGGCTGTTCCTTTGACTGCGGAGCCATAGACAGCGAAGGAGTTCTTTTGCTTGGTTTCGGTCCGCATAATCTTGAATCTCCCCGGCCCCGCGAGCCATTTAGGCGGACTCACTTTTGCAGCTTGTGGAGCGGGATGTGGGGAATGCGGGATTATGGGTTGTTGCCTGGTTGGTTGCTTCGACTGTGAGTTTTTCATCAGCAAGCCACCGTCCTAAGGTGGATGACGTGGATTCTAGTCCTTCCACCTTAAAAAGTAGTCGACGCTATCCCTTAATAGAGCTGCTTAGGCATCCCAGACGGCTGCCGAAATCCACTGTGTGTCAGGGCTTTGCTTAATGAAGAACGACCGGGGTTAGCCTGGACCGCGTACGGGATTTTATGTTGTCCTCTGCGCAGGACTTTCGAGGGTGGAGGAGAAGGGAGCAGAACTGCCGGATGTGGTGACACATATGACACTGGACAACCTCATCTGCTTTGGCCCACCGTAGAGATGAGAGTTGAGGTACAATTGTAAGAGACAGGGAGCACTTGTGTTCGGACATGTACATGCACACACAACAATTGTCAGCAGGGTGTCTGGCCAGCTCTTAGTCCAGAATCCAATACAACCGAGGGGTACTGCGTACGTCTGATTGGTCGGGTGGCCGATTTCCCCTCATATCCTGTTGTCTAAAGGCTGCAGGGTCTGTGTGTCCTGGCTCGGGACACCACCCTCTCCCGTGATCGTCCAACTACCTGGCCGCCTAAACTGTGGCGGTAGTTGGACCTCGAGTTCATTTATATACCCACTCCACTGGTCTCAGCACCAATAAACTACAGCGCAGTGCACCCCAGAGAATGAAATTTTAGTCTACCGCTGTGTGGCCAACCTGGCTAACTTCTGATTTCGGTTTTGTGCGTGTTTCGGCCGGCAGCGGGGCTGGTGCAGCCGGTGTACTGTACGCGCTGTGAATGCACATCGAAACTAGTGCGGAAACTGTACGGACGACTTTCTCAACCGTCTCCGCTTCTTCGACTCGAAATTATGTATCGCCAGCTAGACAACAGGAGGTCCGCCCTGGACGTTTCTTATTCAACCTCGCTGCCGCGGAAGAGATTCAACAATAGATTGGAAATATTCTGTTTTTACTGTGATGTTTGATCGTCTTCGAAGTGGGCCGCAAGTGAAGAGTTTGTCCTGTTGGTCCGGAGGGAGTTGTTTCTGGCAGTAGAACTGTTATTGCAGCATGCAAACAGCCTGCTGGGCTGGCCAGCCAGGTGCATTGCTTTCGGTCCGTGCAGATCGCCCCATTTCACGGCACTCCTATGCCCACTTCGGATCACTTTGAAGGCAAGCTATTACCACTGGTCCGGTATGGCGGTCGACTGGGGACTTGTCCACTGGAGGTGCGGCTACAAAATAAGATCCGACCGAATTACTTGTGATTTCAAGGGTCATGGATCATGATCCCGGGCTATTTCGGCCACTTCAGGATGCCGGTTTCTGTATACGCTTCTTTTCAGCTCCCCGTAAAATCGCACTTGCTGAAATAGCCACCTAAGTAGTATGGATTTTTATTATCGATTTCCAATGCCCTTATAAGTTTAAAATATATTCTATAGACATCACGCGCAAGCAGGACCCTTACTGTATCCGTTTTATGGCAAATTAAATCTTTAGCCTTTCTACGCATCAAACGGTACCCTTTGATTTAAAATGTTTGTATGTACGGGATCTTTAAAAGTCATTAAATGTCAGTTCAAATGGCTACTTGAAAAGAATAAAGCGTGGGACACTTCACGACAATAACAGTTATATATGACACGTTGTTAATAACCTAGGGGAATATGCACTTTTTCTTAAATAGACACTGTTCAATTTGTTGTTCGGAAGCCCTCAGCGTAATTGAAACGCCAGGTGGGTTTCAAAAGTAATCGGGCTGTAAAACTTTCGTTTACTAGGCCAGAAAAGAAAACTATAGTTCTTTCCTACCTTCGTCGGCAGCGTTTGCCGAGTATTGAGTGCTCGGTGTTATGGGGTCGCTTGCCAGCGAAGTATACCCAAAATGCAAGGATGATGTTCATTTCAGTTTAGTAGGGATGACTTATAAGTGACTCTACATGTTCCAGAGCGTGAGTGTTAAGCTCAATAACCAGTTGGCATCAGCTGCATTGAAGACGGTTAATAAATCCCAGATGATCACTAGGGTATTACCCATTTTGCTCTGGACAATTACTTAACTTATGGGCGGCAGTTCAAAAGAACGATTATTCGTTTCGCTGTAGTCCTTTGCTCCAGGACCCGACGAAGGTCTTCAACACGGTGAATGACGATGAACTGTGGAAAATCACCCAGAAATTCAGTTGTCCAGGTCAATTCACGCACATGGTGCAGCAGCTCCTTTAGGCCTATGCGGGTTTGTAGTCTGTGAGTTAGCCTATTTCCCCAGGTAACGCAGCCCCGAGTGACAACTGATTGATGTCCCCTATGAAAAGAAACTAATTCGATTTTCATGAAAGTTCCGCGGCCAATTTGGAGGATCAAAGTTCTCCGTGTTTTGAGACAGTCTGGGTATCCACCAGGGGAAAATTGAAGGCCAGCTAAGTGTTGTGAGCCGAGCATAGCTCAACCTCCCGCCGTACAAACCTGAGGCCTGAACTCGGACATAGCTGGTCACTGGATGAACGCCCCACCACTGAGCCCCAGGGTTCACCACCTGTCGTCTGAGACCGGAGCTATTCAAAAGCGTACAGGATTGGTGTACGTGCTTTCAAGTCGACCTTGCAATTCACAAGGGGAAGATGCGTTCGCTTGAACAAGAAGTTTATTAACTTGACCTTTCGGATTCCCACTTGAATCCATCATCAGAGACATTCCATACTGAGCTCACTGTCGCCGTTTAGGAGTTTAATTTAGAATTTCCATGCCTTTCATTCAGACGGGGAGGAGGGTTAGATATCTGGCAAAATTTGATAGAGACTGCCTGAACTCACTTATTAAAAAAAACAGGAGATGCCGTTGAAAGGGGAAGACGGAAGCCTCATTTGACACGCCCAGAAGCCATTTTGTGTAACAGTCGTGATCTACCCGTCGGTACACGGTCCACCATTTTGAATATGCTGCCAAGTTCTCTCGGCCAATTTTCACACTGACAAGTACACTTAAGGGGGCAGCCGATTGGACATATTTAAGGTTTAATGAGTGGTGGCGATGAGCCTAGTCCAGAGGAGATCGAAAAGAAGTGCTTTTAAAGCCGACATCCTGCCAAGTCCAAAATGTTATAAGACTATGCCTTAAGATAATCAGAATCACAACTGTGACCAAGTAATCCTTCCTAATCGAAAACGCATTTCAGAATTTCAACCAACATTTCATGAGCTAGGTCACGCACTGTACTTAAAGTTTAATGAGTGGTGGCGATGAGCCTAGTCCGGAGGGGTAAGTTGGTCAATGGTTCTGGGCGCAAGCCCCCGCCGACAGGGCGCTGCCCTTGCAGTGAAGGGATATCGGCGGTTCTATCAGGCATTCTGCAAGCTAAGGCATAGAGTGTGTTTATGAAACGTTTGCAAACGTTTGAAAGTCCTCGCATTCATTCGACTGACAGAGGGGAGCTCACCGACCGCGCTACGGGACACTCGTCCCGTTGCGTCTGGGGGCTCACTGTCCCGGCTCGCCGGAAGCCGCACAGCGCCTAGTATTGTTGACAGAATGACAATGCAGACTGGAGCGACCGTTTCTAGGCTGTTGGTCGCCATAGCCAACCTCAGGTTTGTCACTCAATGGACTCGAAGGCTAGAGTGTCGTACTTTTAACAAACTGAATGCGGACTCGAGATTCAGGCACCACAACAAAACTGGGGTCGGTTAGGGCTGGCTGACGATCGTAAATAAGCCAGAAGTGGTCATTCCAGTCTCCCTTATCTCTGGCAGTAATGAAACTCGTATACTGGCAGTTGCGTTAAAAAGGCCATCATAACGACATCTGGTCTAAACAGGATCGTATGCGGACATCGGGTCCAGGTGTCTTATGAGGGAGTGCTGCTGGTTTATTTGCACAGCTACGCAAAATCGAGCCTGTGAAGTGTTATATGGGCATTTTCCCGGCAGTGAGGGTACTTATTATGATTTTTTTTTCGCAGAATTTTATTCGACAATCCGATACCTTCTATCGGGCGCTTTACGTGGAAAACTGACATTTGATTTGGTGAAGGCAGCCCCAGGCTGGAATTTATCCTTCATTCTGAGGCTCTCCGGCACTTTACGGTGACAGGAAGGTGTCCTTAACTGGCACCAGTGTTCTGTCCCAAAGACCCCCCCAGTCTGGGTGCGAAAAGTCAACAGTCATTTGTCGGATGCGGTGTAGCCATGGTTAAAGAAACTATTACGCGGGGACGAAGAAATGATCTCACTGGTGTGAGCTGAAGGACGTATAAGCGGTGAGGTTGAACAATGCGGATTCCCTAGTCGTGTTTCATTCGATACGACCAGGCCACAACTTCAAATTAGACGAGGTCGAAATCCCCTCAAATATAGAAAAACGCTTTCGCCGTCAGGAAAGGCGTCATGTGAGGACTGCCGTGTCTGGCACGTATCATGAATTAACATATGCCGAAAATCGCCTCCCGTGTTTGCAAATATTTCTCATAAATGCACCCGAGTTCTGCCCACTTTATATTCACACCTCGATAAGACCAGAATTGACAAGTGCGCATTTGAGGTTGTCAAAGGAACTGAGGTTGTTAAGGGTTTGATGTTGTCGAAGGGTCCGAGGTTGTTGGAGGATCTGAGGTTGTTGAAGTATCCGAGGTTGTTAAAGAGTCTGATGTTGTGCGAGGATCTGAGGTTGTTGATGGATCCGAAGTCGTTGCAGGATCCGAGGTTGTTGAAGGATCCAATGTCGTTGCAGGATCCGGGGTTGTTGAAGGATCTGAGGTTGTTGAAGGATCCGAGGTTGTTGAAGAATCCGAGGTTGTTAAAGAGTCTGATGTTTTGCGAGGATCTGAGGGTGTTGATGGATCCGAAGTCGTTGCAGGATCTGAGGTTGTTGAAGGATCCGAAGTCGTTGCAGGATCCGAGGTTGTTGAAGGATCCAATGTCGTTGCAGGATCCGGGGTTGTTGAAGGATCTGAGGTTGTTGAAGGATCCGAGGTTGTTGAAGGATCTGAGGTTGTTGAAGAATCTGAGGTTGTTGAAGGATCATAGTTTGTTAAAGAGTCTGATATTGTGCGAGGATCTGAGGTTGTTGATGGATCCGAAGTCGTTGCAGGATCCGAAGTTGTTGAAGGATCTGAGATTGTTGAAGGATCCGAGGTTGTTGAAGGATCCGATGTTGTTGAAGGATCTGAGGTTGTTGAAGGATCCGAGGTCGTTGCGGGATCCGAAATTTTTGAAGGTTCTGAGGTTGTTGAAAGATCTGAGGTTGTTGAAGGTTCTGAGGTTGTTGAAGGATCCGAGGTTGTTGATGGATGCGACGTCGTCGTAGCATCCGTGGTCGTCGCAGGATCCAAAGTTGCCAAAGGTGTCGGGGAGGCCGAAGATATTGAGGATGCAGAAGTTGTTGCAGGTGCCAAATCTTCAGGGATTGACGGAGGTACTGAGTCTGGCTGAGCTGTCGGTCTTAGCGCAGGTGCCGAAGTTGTCGAGGCTGGAGGTCTACCTGTGCCTCCTCCAATTCGCGGGGCCTGCTGAATGCATGTACAGATGCAGGGTTCACATGCTTCCCAAATGGCATCGTGAATGGAGCAAAATCCCTCATCCATATGAGCCACTACTCCCAAAACTGCTGAAAGCAGCAATGTGCCAAACAGTACAACAGTTCGAATCATCTCGTAATTACTGATGCTCTCTGCCTGCCCTACCAACTGCTTTTATACAGAGATCATACGAAATTTCAACAGTAAACATATGCGCATTAGGAAGACTCATAAATCCATTTGCAAACGATACAGCGGACCAACGTGGGCTGGCACATGCAAGTTAGTCTCCTTGAAATAGTGAGTGTTGTATGGTAGGTTAGGTCAGTTGTGGGAGGTCGTGGAGTTACTCAGGCAGCTGACTCAAACACGTATGTATGCAGGAAATGTTGCCTTCTACGCACAGGAAGTTTTGGTCGATTTTCCGCGTTGGCCTCTGCAAGCGATCCAGGCGAGACTGGCATAGTGTCGCCCATCGGCATGAAACATATTCAGGCCTTGTTCACACTGGGTACCGTTAGGGTCGTAGATCCCGCAGTTCAGTGTTGTAATCAGTAGCAATGTGTCCGCGGCGTAGTGGTGCCCAGTTACGTATTCCACGTGAAGGTCGTAGTAGGTCACTTCACTTATCTCCTGCAGGTGTTGACAACATCTAGCGTCCATTAACTGGCACACAATTCTCATGGGTGGCTCCTCAAAGCTAGGCTCTGCCGGCGACTACACCCCGGTAACCTCTTCGACCAGCGTGCTAAATCAGGCAAAGTTATCCGGTATTATATGTGCCTCCACACCCGATAATTGGGATTCCCTTTAATCCCCGTTCCCTCCCACCGCTTCAGAGTTCTACAGAGCGAGCAACATGCAATCCTGTAGGTGGCCTAGGCGAACTCGCGTCGCTTTCCACTACACAGAGCCGTACCCCTTATAGGAGTTCACCAACCGTCTGAAATGTCTTAGAAGCTCGATTTAGGGACAGCTCTGCATACCTCCTCGTGGCGGAAAACGATAGATCACGCCATCCGGTAGTATGCCGTGTCTCGCAGGTGCGAAACCCGCGGTCGGAACGGTGCAATGAGCTACGACACCCGTCGTACCCTACAGGCTGTCAGAGGAAGTCCGCTCATTCTGGAAGTCTGGAATGTTCCCTCTCTTTTAGACAATCCGAGGAGCAACCGACCGGAACGGCGGACGGCGCTAATCGCTTGAGAATTGGCGCTCTGCAGGGTGGGTATCACTGCGCTCAGTGAGACTTGGTTTTCTGAACAAGGTCAACAGGAGGAGGTGGGTGCCGAGCTACATTGTCTGGGGCGGTCACTCCAAGAGATGCGGGCGTCGCCGTTACCATCCGGAACTACATCACGGAACGAATACCCGTCTGCTGCTGGGCATCAACGACCGACTGATGAGCCTGCGACTGGCTCTTCGAGAATACCGATTCGCCACCATCATTAGCACCTACGCCCCACCAGGGACCAGCCCTGATGAAGCAAAGATCAAACTCTACTAGGAACTGCATGCCTTTCGGACGGACTTGGTGACTTCAACTCCCACGCTGCCTGGAGGGGACTGCTGGGTTCCAATGAACTCTGAAGCTGTAATGAAAAGGGGCTCCTTCTTCGTCATACCTTCACGGAACGTCGCATCCTCCTGACCAACATCTTCTTCGCCTCCTAACTCGGGAGAGGACGATCTGGATGTACCTTCAATCGTGGCGCTGGCAGCTACTAAACTATGTTCTCGTCCGGCGGCTCGATAGACAGTGTGTGCTGGTGACTAGGGCGATCATTGACACCGATAGGCGAACGGACTGCTGCCTCACCATGTCCAAGATGAGGCTCTGTCTGCAACCCCGCAGGAGGCCATAAGGTACATAAGAGACCACCAGGTAAGTTAAATACTGTTCTGTTGCATTTGCCTGCTTACCGTTTGCATTTCAGCTAAACCTAAAAGCTCCAGGCGGAGACGCTTCCGTGGAGACTCCATGGTACCAACTGAGGGACACTGTCTATTCAAACACCGTGAGTGTCCTCGACCTAGTCCGAACCAGGACGGGTTTGACGAAAACGATGCAGTCATCAACAACCCGCTCGCTGAGAATAACATGCGCCTTACGGCCTACCTCAATCTTCCAACTGATGCAGACAGAGCGGCCTTCCACAAATGTCGCCCCCTTGAGCATCAGCGATTGCAGGAAAAGCAGCACACCAGGATGGCTCGTAAGGCCAAAGAGATTCAGGAGTATGGCGTCCGCAACGAAACAACGAACTTCTTCGCTGCGATCCAGATGATCAACGGTCCCCAACGAAAGGAATTACGCTGTTTCTCAGTTCCAGTGTTCAAAGTTTCTGAGGGGGAATTCGAAAATTCTAAAGCACTGGGCCGAGCAATCCAGAAGCGTCCTCAATCACCCCTCCACAGTCTCTGACCTTGCCATGGACCGGCTTCCCCAAGTGGACCGGCTGGATCTCCCGCGCCGTACAAAAACTATCCAGCGAGAAAGCACCAGGATCCAATGCGATCCTAGTTGAAATCTACAAGCAAGGCGGCCGTCGATTAATTACTCACCGATAAGAAGGAGACAAAATCGCTGCAACAAGAGCTTTATTAGCCTGACATTTTGGATTCTCACTCGAAGCCATCAGCAGAGACAGAGTCAGATAAGGGTAATAAATTGCCCATGCGTTGCAGTATTTATAGGCCGTAGTTGCTTGGTTGCTATACACCTATCATAGTTGGCAGCTCCGGAGTGCATCACGACTCGACTGCCAGGTGTTGAAGTATGCAGTTTTCGTGCAGTTGCTATGCCCTTTTGTGCCGGTCAAGATTATTGGCCCCCCCCCACGTTCATCGCACACAGTCGAATTTCTGACTGCCGCATTTCGTCATTGGTGTTGACTCTTCAGGGAATTTGGCAGGTCAACACTGACACCAGGAACTGTCGTCATCCTCATGCTCTTCTCGCGGCTAAACACTTTGCCTAGGCAAAGTCTCAGCACCGGATATGAAGAGGGGAGGTCGTTGGGCTGGTTGATTGATCGATAACCGGAAAACCATGACTTGAGCAGTTGGCAGCTCACGCGGTTGTCGCCTCTGGGGAGATTTTCGGCGATCGCGTCTCCTTCTTCGCGACTTCTTCCTGGAATTCGCCTCTATGGTTCTATTACTTATTTGCTCACATACCGTCTCTTTTCCAGGAGATGTGACGACAATTACAGGTCCCACAGTATCTCAAGTACGCCACCGTCGTCCATCTTTAAAAGCGCAAAGGGAATCGGCAACCCTTTGACAACCACAGCGACTTCATGTTGCCAAACATTCCTGGGAATGTCTTCGTTTGCATCCCCCTCAACCGCCCTAACGACCATCTAGAACCGGGTCTTCTGCTGAAAAGCCACTGCGGAACTACCGACATGATTTTCGACTCTGGCCTGGCACAGGAGAAGTGTCACGAGATGCGAACTCCCAACCACACTAGATTTCGACCCGGTGAATAGCGATGGACTGCGGAAAATCATACAGACATTTGGCTATCCTGAACGATTCACGAACATTGCACATCAAGACCACGACGGGTGATGGGGCGCGTCATGGCAAACGCCGCAGTCTCAGAGGCATTCACAATGACCAACCGAGTGAAGGCGGGCTGCTCACTCGCTCCCATCCTCTTCAACCTCATGTTCTTTGCCATCTTAATGGACGCCTACCGTGGGGATCGCCCTGGGATCCACCTGGCCAACAGAATTGACGGTCATCTTTTCAACGGTTCGACTATCTACGACATCAGCCTACGATCTGTTCTTCGCCGACAGTTGTACGCTCAACACCACGTACGAAGAGGACATGCAGTGAAGGATGAACCTCTTCGTCGCCGGGTGCATCAACTCCGGACTGACCATCAACACTAGCGAAACAGTGATCATGCACCAACCACTACCCTACACCGAATACAGAACTTCTCCAATCAATGCCCACTATATCCAACTTAAAACCGCGAACAACTTCGCTTGTCTAGGAAGCACACTCTCGCGCAACACAAACGTCGACGACGAGGTTGCCCATCGGCTCTCCAAAGCTAGCCGGACCTTCGGGCGCCTGCAAGCCTCCGAGTCGAATCGCCAAGCCCTTAACGTAACAGCAAACTGAAGATGTACAGGGCCATCGTCCATAGAACACTCGTGTACGCAGCGGAGATCTGAACCGTCAACTTCAGCCATGTCAGGAATCTGAACCAATTCCATATAAGCTACCTTCGCAGAATACTGACGCTAAGATGCAAGACAGGATCTCGGACAAGGAAGTTCACGTCTTAGGCAACTGAAATTCCGGTGGAGCGGTCACTTGATGAAGATGGACGATGCGCGACTACCCAAACGACTCTTCTACGGGGGCGTCACTAAGGGGGTGCTCGCTGGCAGGGAGGACAAAAACGAAGAAAAGGGAACACTCTGAAGAACTCTCTGGAACGACTGAACATCAACCCCGAGGCTTGCGAGGTCTTCGTTCAGAACAGACCGGTCTGGAGGAGAGCAGTGAAGACTGGCGTTGCAATCTAAGACGCAAACCGGATCGCCGCCCCTGAAGGCCAAAAAAGAAGCTTACAAATCTCACACGCTCCTGCCCCGCAACATGGCCATTCAGTCCCACGTGCTCGCGCTGTCAACGAATATCCTACGCGCGAATCGGCCTCATTGATCAATGCAGCAAACTCCCCAAAACCGCAACTGCTGCCTCCACGACCGTCCC